TAGCCATTGAGTTCAATGGCCCACAGGATATAATGGGGCCGAATTGCCGCCAAAATTCGGTTGCAATTCGGTGGCAAGCCGATTCAGATCAGAGAATCTGAATCAGCCTGCAGCAGCCTGAAAGGGGTCTGAATGGGCCTTTTTGGGGGGTGCATTCAGTTCGGACTAACCGAATGCACATCCCTACTCACAACCCAGGTACAGGACCTCCATCTTCGATGGATTTAGCTTCAATTGACTCTGCCACAACCATCCAGCCACAGCATCCACAGCTTCAGCCAGATTTCCAGGAACGGAGGACAGGTGACCGTCCGTTAACTGATAGAGCTGGGTGTCGTCTGCATATTGATGAAATCCCAATCCATATCTCCAGACTAACTGGGTGAGGGGGCGCATATAGAGGTTAAATAACATTGGCAAGAGGATTACCCCCTGCGGCACTCCACAATATAGTGGGTATCCATCAATTCTTATTATTCTTTTGTTTCTCTTTTAAAAGAGGGCTTACTCTTTGATTTCTCTTTGATTTGTCTGTGTGGAAAAATCAATGCACCCATTTGTAACTTTGGATCATGCAGGGGTTTTATGTTCCATGCCACAGGGCGATGGTTTAGCAGGAAGACAGGAAGGTGTGGGAAGATACTGTCTGCCTCCGGGCATCTACAGAGTGAAATTTTGAAATTCTGCAGAACCTGCCTTTCTACATCTCTCTTCAAATTTCTCTTTGAAAAAAATGGAACTGACTAGAAACAGACTCTAGATTCCTGGGGAGGGGGGAGGATTGTTGGATTTCACAGAAAAACTGGGTAAAGAGGGTTGAGAGAATTTCTCTTAACAATGCTACTTCTCCAAGGAAAAACCACTCTTCCCCATACAAACTGGCCTGTACACTTAGATAATCAACCAAGGCTCTGCTCTGTTTTCCCCTAGTGATGATGATATCTCAGGGAGGTGTATAGAATATAGAATTCTTTATGGTGGCACTAAGATTTCATAAATGTCTCCTGGCCAGTTTGGTGTAGTGGTTAGGAGCGCAGCCTCTAATCTAGGAGAATTGGGTTTGATTCCCAACTCTTCCACATGCAGCTGCTGGCATGACCTTGGGGCAGTTACAAGTTCTTTCTGAGCCATTCTCTCACGAGCAGTTCTCAGAAGAGCTTTCTCAGCCCCACCTACCTTACAGGGTGTTTGTTGTGGGGAAAGGAAGGGAAGGAGTTCGTAAGCTGCTGTGAGACTCTGAGACCGATTTCACACAACATCTGCACCGCAGTCACGCCTCCCTTTGCCCCGCTTCTATTGGTCAATTTCCCACTCAAAGCCATGTGGCTGCATTTTGAACCATGGCTTTGCCCAATTTCCCCCGTGATTTCGTGAACCTCAAAAAACAGGATCACAGAACTGCGGGGAAAATCGGGCGAAGCCACGGGTCAAAATGTGGCCGCGCGGCTTCGAGTGGGAAATTGACCAATAGAAGCGGGGCAAAGGGAGGCGCAACGACGGTGCCGCTCCTGTGTGAAATCGGTCTGAGTGAAGGGCCAGGTATAAATCCAATCTCTTCCCTTCTTCCTGAATGAGGCCCAACCATTCTGGCTTTTAGGCATCTGGTCAGACAGCACTTATCTCAAGCATGTTTGGTAGGGTTGTGAACTTGTGAACCTCGTTGAGATCTCCCACTTTTACAATTGATCTCCAGACTACAGAGATCCATTCCCCCTGAAAAAATGGCTGCTTTGGAGGCTTGACTCTATGGCATTAAACCCCGCTGAGGTCCCTCCCCTCCCCAAACGCCGCCCTCCCCAGGCTCCACCCCCCAACATCTCCAAGTATTTCCCAACCCAGAGCTGGCAACCCTAGGTTTGTGGGCCAAACAGACCTTCGGTTTTCAATGCTGCATTTTATTAATGGTTCTGTTGATGTTGTCTTCTGTTAGGCAAGCTGCTTGTGGTTTTGGAGCACTTCTACATTTGTTTGAGCTGCTTTGATTGCTAGTTTTTGGTCCTTCGTTGGTCTGCCTTCCCCCTTACGGTGCATTCCAGAGCAAACCTGGTAGGGTTGCCAGCTCCAGGTTGGGAAAACGTGGAGATTTCAATGGACTATAATGCCATAGAGTCCACCTTCCAAAGCTGTCATTTTCTCCAGGTGAACTGATCTCTGTCGCCCAGAGATCACTTGTAATCCCAGGAGATCTCCAGCCACTACCTAGAGGTTGAACAACCAATACAAACGATAGAAACACCTGTGATATAGAGCCAGTTTGGTGTAGTGGTTAAGTGTGCGGACTCTAATCTGGGAGAACCGGGTTTGATTCCCCACTCCTCCACTTGCACCTGCTGATGTGACCTTGGGTCAGTCACAAGGCAAAGAGGGAAAGTATTCTATGAATCATTCATATTTCTAGAAACTTTGCCTAACATTATTCTGATACATTGTAATAATGGCAGCCAATGTGTAGTGGTTAGGATGTTGGACTAGGAGCCAGGAGACACACATTCAAATCCCTTCTCTGCTGTGAAACTCAGTGGATGATGCTGGGCCAGTCACATTCTCAAGTCTAATCTACCTCACAAGGTTGCTGTGAAAATAAAATGCAGGAGGGGACAGAATCATTCACACCACCCTGAGCTCCCTGAAGGTATAAGTAAATTACACTTTTAAAAAAGAAATGCACATTAACTGTTAGCTGATTTGTACGGGAAATTACTGTATCAAACCTTAAAGATAGATGCATACCTATATACAGCGCTATTTTTGGGCAGGAACGCACAGGAACGGAGTTCCAGCTGGCTCCTGAGTTAGCCACGCCCAGCAGGAACTCATTAGCATAATAGGCCACACCCAACAGCAGGAACTCATTAGGATTGGCTACATTAGGGGTGTGTGGCCTAACATGCAAAGGAGTTCCTGCTACAAAAAAGGCCCTGGGTTTTGACAACAAACAAGGTAAACAGAATAACAAGCAAAAGGTGGGTGTGGCTGGATGAGCACACTTCTGGTAACATGTGGGTTACCAGAATAATGGTAATGAGCTGTGCTGTCAGGGGTGTGGCCCATTATGCTAATGAGTTCCTGCTGTTGGGTGTGGCCTGTTATGCTAATGAGTTCCTGCTGGGCTTTTTCTACAAAAAGAGCCCTGCGATATGTATGGACTGGTGACTTTCATTTCAGTGTATCAGAAGTGTGCGTACACATGAAAGTTGTATCTTGAATAAAACTTTGTTGGTCTTAAAGGTCCCAGCGGACTTGAACTTTGTTTTGTATCAAACCTGTTGATAATGAAAACATTTTTTGTAGTTCTGAAGTAAATGTGTTTCTTTTAAAAAAAAAGAAGAACAATAAGATTTTATTTTATTAATTTTTATTTTATTTTTCATATTTATAGTACGCCCATCCCACAAGTGAGCTCAGGGCAGGTAACGTCATATCAACAATACAATAAATACAGTTAAAAATTTAAAACACAATAATAAACATTAAAACAGAAATCAGCTGGCTGCGAGAGGTGCCTTGGCCCATGGGACACAGATGAATAATGGCCAGTTGTCAGTGGGTGGGTGACAACAACCTCACGGAGGCCATACGTGGACACCCGCTGCCTCAGCCAAAGGCCTGGCGGATAGGGTTGCCAAATACCTTTTGTTCCCCGACGGGGGGCTCCCGGACGGCGTCTTGAGCGCGCACTGCATGCACGTCAGCCGGATGTGACGTGCTAACACCGGGCACGCTGGGGGCGGGGCCACAGCCATCTGAGGGGAAAACATAGAGTTTTCCCCTCAGATGGCTGTGGCTCCGTCCCCAGCGTGCCCAGCATCAGCACGTCACATCCAGCTGACGTGCACGCCGAGGTGGGGTTTCCCCCGGGGCACGATTCCGCGGCAGCGGAAATCGGGCCTCCAAAGCGGGGGGAAATCCGCCCCCGGGGGGAATTGGCAGCCCTACTGGCGGAACAGCTTTGTCTTGCAGGCCCTGCAGGGCCCTGATCTCGATAGGGAGCATGTTCCACCAGGCAGGGGCCAGGACGGAGAAAGCCCTGGCCCTGGTTGAGGCAAGACGCACATCCTTTGGGCCAGGGACCACCAGGAGATGTTGATCCATAGAGCATAGCAATCTTCGAGGCGTAGACAGGAAGAGGTGGTCCCTCAGATATGTTGGTCCCAGGCTGTGTAAGGCTCTGAAGTTTATTACCAACACCTTGAAGTGAATCCAGAACTCAACCGGTAACCAATACAGTTGGTGGAGCACATTCTGAACATGAGCTTGCACAGGCATCGATGTCAGCAGGCATGCCACTGCATTTTGCACCAGCTGTAATTTCTGAGTCAGCCTCAAAGGTAAGCCTGCATAGAGTGAACTGCAGTAATCAAGCCTGGAAGCGACCACTGCATGGGTCACTTTAGCTAATCTGTGGATTTAAAAGTACTTGACAAATATTTGACCAGTTTGACTGGTCAAGTAGCTAACCCTTAAGTCAGGGGTGTCGAACTCATTTGTTTTGAGGGCCAGATCTGACATAAATGAGACCTTGCTGGGGCGGGCCATGTGTGTCATAAAATGTAATGCCAGGTAGCGGAGATATAAACTTTATAAAGGACACAAACACAAAGGGATTTTTTAAACTTAAAAACATGCTTAAAACATTAGCACTCTTGCAATATTTTGTTTATTTAACAGTGCCTGATAACTGACATCTCTTGCTCTAAATTATTGCATCAAAATGTCTGTGCTGTTGCAATCTTGAGTATGCTGTTCAGGTGTGTATCGCAAGCTGCAAACCTATGATGATGCAGCAGCAGCAGAACTGGAAGAAGAAGCAGGAGACAGCCAGTTCCACTGAGGGCCTGATAGAAGCCCTCTGGGGGCCTGATCCGGCCCCTGAGCCGCATGTTTGACACCCCTGCCTTAAATAGTATCATTCAAGTCTTGTTCCTGGTTTGGTTTGGTTTTTTAAAAATCCTCTGCATAATCTAAAGTGTTCTCAAATGAATCACTCTTTCTTGGCACAGGTGAACTTGGTGCTGGACGAAGGGCGGTCTCTGGGTCTCATGATCCGTGGAGGAGCTGAATATGCCCTTGGAATTTACATCACAGGCATAGACAAAGGCTCCGAAGCAGAAAGCACCGGCTTGAAGGTGAGTAAAGAAAAGAGCTGGCTACATCTTGTATAGGTAGGGTCGCCAATCTCCAGGTGGTAGCTGGAGATCTCCTGGGATCATAGTTGATCATAGTTGATCTCCAGGTGACAGAGGTCAGTTCACCTGGAGAAAATGGCTGCTTTGGAAGTTGGACTCTGTGGCATTTATACCCCACTGAATTTCATCCCTTCCCCAAACCCCATCCTCCTCAGGCTCTGCCCCCCAAATCTCCAGGTATTTCTCAACCCAGAGCTGGCAACCCTATATATAGGGGAAGATCACTTCTCATATGGATGTGCAACAGTTAGCCTTGAAGACTGAACATTGCCATGTACATTTCTCCACACCTGGTATCGCATGAACCAGCACTGCAAATTGCTGGCAGGTACACTTTGCAGTCCTGTGGAGATAAAGCAAGCAGCGGTTGCAGATCCACGAGGAAGTATGTTGCACGTGAACATCATGAAAGAACTGTCTCGTGAATCATTTTGGAGGCTGACATTGTTATGAATTTTCTTTTAGCAGCTACAATATGTATAACCGGTGGTTGGGAAAAGGCTGAGATATCATCTATATATCTAATACCCAAGTATCTAAATCTGCGCTCCGGGGCCACCTGGGGGGCAGGGAGAGGTTTGTGCATACGTGTGCACAAAAATCCAAAACCCCGGGGAAAAAATCGGGGGGATGTTTAAATCCCCCCGAAACTGGCAGAGCGTCCCCTGCGCATGTGCAGGGGATGCTCTGGAACGACGCCACCACCTCACAGCCACTTTGCAGGGGAGAGGGGGGGAAGCGCTGAGGCCCGGTGGCCAGAAGCCGCGCGGGCCTCGCTCTCAGGCCGGGGGCCGGGGGGAAGCGACGAGGCCCACCGGCTACAAGCCGTGCGGGCCTCGCTTTCCAGGCGGCGGGGGGGGGGGGCAGGCAGGCGCGCCGCCGCCCTCCACGC